TATGATCACCATGTATAATACATAAGGGGGGGATATGATCTCCATGTATAATACATAAGGGGGGATATGATCTCCATGTATAATACATAAGGGGGATATGATCTCCATGTATAATACATAAGGGGGGATATGATCTCCATGTATAATACATAAGGGGGATATGATCTCCATGTATAATACATAAGGGGGGATATGATCTCCATGTATAATACATAAGGGGGGATATGATCTCCATGTATAATACATACATAAGGGGGGATATGATCTCCATGTATAAATACATCAGTGGTCATATAGTGAACTCGGTGTAGTTATTCCCCCTGAGGTCATCACAAGGACAAGGGGGCGTTCTTTACATCTGGAGGAAAAGAAATATAATCTCCAAACAACAGAAAGGTTTATCTTCACAGTGAGAGCTGTGAAAATGATTCTTTCTTGGATACACAGAATATAACTGGATATAACATTTATAGGTAAAGTTGATCCAGGGAATATCCGATTGCCTCTCGGGGGATCAGGAAGGAATTTTTCCCCTGCAGGAGCAAATTGGATCGTGCTTTGCTGGGTTTTTTGCTTTCCTCTGGATCAACTGTGGGTGTAGGATTATAACTTGTTTTTTAATGATTGGACTGGATGGACTTTTGTCTTTTTTCAGCCAGACTAACTATGTAATATGTCAAAAGATCATTATGTAAAGTCGCCTGAAATAGCCAATTGATGGTATTAATTATAGTACTCCAGTAGTGCACTAGTTTGGAGCATTTCCAAAAGACATGCAAATAGTCTGCTGGGTATACCCCACAGCAAGGGCAATCTGTGGTCTCTCTATGGTTCCATCTATACAATTTATGGGGTGTTCTATAGACCTGATGTACAGTGAAGGAAATGCGTATTTGCTCCCCGGCTGATTTTGAATGTTTACCCACTCACAAAGAAATGATCGGTCTAAAAATCGAAAGTTCGGTGTATTGTAACACTGAGAGACAGAATAGCAACAAAAAATTCAGCAGAAATGCGTCTAACAAATGATGACTGATTTGCATGTTCATGAGGGAAATAAGTATTTGATCCCCTTCACAAAACATGACTTAGTACTTGGTGGCAAATCCCTTGTTGGCAATCACAGAGGTCAGACGTTTCCTGGAGTTGGCCCCCAGTTTTGCACACATCTCAGGAGGGATTTGTCTCACTCCTCTTGGCAGATTCTCTCCAAGTCATTAAGGTTTGGTGGCTGATGTTTGGCAACTAGAACTTTCAGCTCCCTCCTAGGTTTATCTATACAAAGAAAAAGCAAATGACCTACAAAAATGACAGAGACAGAGAGAGAGAGAAAGGGAGAGAGAGGGCGCCACCTCTAAGTATAAATTTATTAAAAATAGATTAAAATCCATCTCCCACATTATCACCTTGAGTTGGGTACTTCCTGTGCTTATGACCTAGTAAATACTAGCTAGATCCATAACTCACCATTATATTCTCGAATAGGTTACTACTCCAAGTTAGGAGCAGGGGCGGACTGACAACTCATGGGGCCCCCGGGCAATAGGGGATCATGGGACCCCTGTGTCCTTGCCCAAACTCAAAAAAGCCTATGAAAAAGGTACCAGGGGCATCTCATGGGGCCCCCTACTGACCCTGGGCCCTCGGGCAGTGCCCGAGTTTCCAAATGGTCAGTCCGCCCCTGGTTAGGAGTTTGCACTTTTTGGTTGTTTCTAATTAATGTTACTTTGTTGCAAGCTATGAGGTTTTTCTTCTAACAAACTCAGCTTACTCTAATGTACTGATTGTAATGAGGGGAGAGAGCGATTTACGGGTACCTCCACCATATCTCTTTGGTTGGTCAACTGCTCTCCCCCTTATCCTATATCTTATGGAAATGTTTAATACCAGTTGACTGATCCATGTATGTATCCTTTCAAAACTTGAATACATTTCTTGAAAATAAAAGAGATTAAAAGCACATTAATATGCACTCATTTGGAAAAACATACAGTAAATGCTGTCACGTCAACTGCATGAGTCTGGTAGGCAGGGGCAGACTGACAACTCATGGGGCCCCCGGGCAATAGGGGATCATGGGGCCCCTGTGTCCTTGCCCACACCCAAAAAAGCCTATGAAAGGTACCAGGGGTATCTCATGGGGCCCCCTACTGACTCTGGGCCCTCGGGGCAGTGCCCAAGTGCTCAAATGGTCAGTCCACCCCTGCTGGTAGGTCTGCCCTGGGATGGAACATCCACTGGAGAAGAATGGGTCGGTTCTTACTGCAGAGTTAAGGAGGAATGCAATTGGGCTAGTAGGAAGGAGTAGTGAAGCAGCTGGAGATATAAAAAGCAGTGTGCTCTTTCGGTTCCCACTTTGGTTTGAAACGCCCACATCCCCGATTACCTATTTTGAAGGTATCAATCGTGACTCACCCAGGGGTAAAGGTCTTATCTCAGATTTTTATTGCTCCTTCTTACAGATCATTTTTCCCTCGCCCCCTTTGTATAGACAGAAATGGGACAGTGAGTGTGGGGTTTACGTTCTCCGATGAGGACTGGGTTTCCATGGTGGAGAATATATGGAAGGGCTCTAGATCTCTTTTGGTTCGTGAGAGGTTTTTAACTCGCTGGTACTATACCCCCTGTAGACTTCATGTCATGTTTCCAGGAACATCGCACCTTTGCTTTAGGGGGTGTGGCTTGGCTGGTACCCTCGTACATGTATTTTGGGCTTGCCCTGGTCTTTCTTTGATTTGGCATAGGATTCCGTTTGGCGGGTTCTCCGGTGATTTGCTTATTGGGTGTATCGCTTTCGGGGATCCCAGTAAACCAAATGAGACTAATTCACACTATCTGCGATTCCACCCTATGGGCCATTGCCCTTTATTGGAAGTCTCCAGTGGTCCCTTCGGCTTCTGTCTTATGGAGAGTTGATATGGTTATGCTTATGGACAGGGGCGGACTGACAACTCATGGGGCCCCCGGGCAATAGGGGGATCATGGGGCCCCTGTGTGTCAGGAATGGACTTGCCAATGGTGGTGGGACTCACCTGCCTTGTGGGCTGCAGTACCAGGGCTGGCCAGCGGGTGCTCTCAGCAACCAGAAGCTCACTCCTGCAGTCGGCCATCACCTGAGGCTGATTGCAGGAGGTGTATTTAAGGAATGGCCAGACCTGCAGTCAGTGCCTTGGACTGACAACTCATGGGGCCCCCCGGGCAATATAGGGGGATCATGGGGCCCCTGTGTCAGGAATGGACTTGCCAATGGTGGTGGGACTCAACTGCCTTGTGGACTGCAGTACCAGGGCTGGCCAGCGGGTGCTCTCAGCAACCAGAAGCTCACTCCTGCAGTCGGTCGCTATCACCTGAGGCTGATTGCAGGAGGTGTATTTAAGGAATGGCCAGACCTGCAGTCAGTGCCTTGGTGTATGTTTCCCATGAGCCCCTGTACCTGCATCCTGTCTGCTTCCTGCCTGATTCCTGATTCTGCTTGATCCTGACCCTGAATGAACTCCGCCTGTCCTGACCTCGGCTATTCCTGACCACTCTCCAGCCTGCTCCTTTGGTACCTCGTCTGCCTGATTGTTCCTGACCCGCCCATCTGACTACGCTCTGCCTACTCCTTTGTGTCTTGTCTGGCCGACGATTCCTGACCCGGCCCGCCTGACCACTCCACCTCGCCAGCCCTGACTGCTCTTATCTGTGTACATTCCGTTATCAGTTGGGAGGTTTGGTTTTGTTATATTGTGCGTTATATTTGTGTATAACCCTTAATAAATTATATTGTTACACCATACTTGAGCCTGCGTTTCCCTGTGTCAGTTTCCCACATCTCTGGTCTTACCGGGAGCCCTGACACCCTGTGTCCTTGCCCACACTCAAAGCACACCCAAAAAAGCCAATAAAAACGTACCAGGGGGATTTTCATGGGGCCCCCTACTAACCCCGAGCCCTCGGGGAGTGCCCAAGTGCTCGAATGGTCAGTCCGCTCCTGCTTGTGGAACGTATTCAATATACGTTGCTGGATAGGATGCATTTATTCAACAGGAAGTGGGATGGTTGGAGAACGCATCGACACTTATTATTCGATCGATGGTCTATCTTGGGTTGTTTTGTACCGAACCTTTTATTGATCTTGTGGTTGTTCTGCTGATATTATTGACTGTCACTTTCATGTGCTGTTTTTTTTTATACTTTCATGATTGTACTTTTCTGTTCATTTCTCATATATACTTTTTTTCATGCTTTTTATTCTACCTCACTAAATGGTGCGGTTTTTGTAGTCTATCTCCTAATAAAAACATTTGTAAACAAAAAAAAAAAAGCAGCGTGCTCGGTCTCCTGAGCTGCCATGGGCAGAGCAATGTAGAAAAGTGTCCAGGGATCCATTCGAGGCAACCAGTAGTGTCACACGCAGTGTGCGTTGGGCATGGCTATGCGTTTCGGGGAAGTCCCATTCCTGTGTCAAACCTCTGAATGAAGAAAATTACTTACAACTGATGAGGTTGCGGTAACCCTGTGGGGTAGAAACATGAAACCTTCCACAAGCGCAGGTGGAGAATACCCAATCCCTACACAGGATTATAAAGGTCACTGCCGGTGTTGTAGGATTCCCAGTCTTGGATCCTCTGCGGGGTACTCAGGTAGGTGCTGAACTAGGTGAGATTGAATTAAGAAGAGCCATTTGGTTTATCAAACATTGAATTGGATTATTTTATCAAAAATGACGATGGCTCCCCGAAATGAGGAAGTGGCCATGTAAAGCCATGACATTTTTTGGGTGATGAAAGTGATTTGATGTTGGATAAAACCAGCTTATTTCTGACTGTGGGGCAGAGAAGTAGATTTGTCTCTGGGAAGTACACAGGCAGCTCTCTAGCAGTTATTAAGCAGGGTGGGGTCCAGGATCCAGCAGGAGGCAGGACAGTGTCACTAGATCAGGTTAGTGATTACTGAACATCTGAGGAAAATCCAGAAATTGTTCTCTGTCTCTCCGCAGACCTCTGGAAGGGAACACGATGGGGCTCCTGTGGATGGTGGGACTCTGGACATTCCTCCAATGTGGTAAGTCTGGTGGCCAAATTATGGATTTGGTGATCATTCCCGACTACTTCTCCTTAGGAAGACCATCGAACATTTTCACTTAATAATTCACAATGACTAATGTTTTACTCAACATCAGGATTTTCTGCTTGCTTGGAAATTTAGGAAACATTTACTTTCTTTTATTTATAAAATGTAATATTTAATGGAAGCAATCACTACTACTGTTTTCATTTTTTATTTATGTACTGTATTTATTTTTACTTTTTATAGCCCTTGTAAATGTACTATTAGCAGTTTCTGACCCAACAACTACAGCATCATTCTTTCTTTCTTTTCTTTCTTTCTTTCTTTCTTTCATTCTTCTCTTTCTTTTTTCTTTCTTTTCTTTCTTTCTTTCTTTCTTTTTTTCTCCCTCCTATCTATCAATCTGTTACCCACCTAGTTAGCTACTACTTATATATTTATTATTTGTTGCTCTCCTGTTTTCTCTCTCTCGTTAACTATTACCTATGTACATATTATCTATGTATCTCTCTCTTTCCATCTTTTTATCTATCTATCTCCTTTCTATCTGTTATCTCTCTATCCCACCCCTTCTTTTAGCTATTAACTTTCTTTCTTTCTTTCTTTCTTTCTTTCTTTCTTTTTCTTTCTTTCTTTCTCTCTCTCTCTCTCTTCTCTCTCCCCCCCCCCCCCTTTCTCTTTCTTTCTTTCTTTCTTTTCTTTTCTTTCTTCTTTCTTTCTTTTCTTTCTTTCTCTTTCTTCCCCCCTCTCTCTCTTTCTTTCTCTCTCTCTTTCTTTCTTTCTCCCTCCTATCTATCAATCTGTTACCCACCTAGTTAGCTACTACTTATATATTTATTATTTGTCGCTCTCCTGTTTTCTCTCTCTCTCTCGTTAACTATTACCTATGTACATATTAGCTATGTATCTCTCTCTTCCATCTTTTTATCTATCTATCTCCTTTCTATCTGTTATCTCTCTATCCCACCCCTTCTTTTGTCTATCTAGTTAGCTATTAACTTTTTCTTTCTTTCTTTTCTTTCTTTCTTTCTTTCTTTCTTTTCTTTCTTTCTTTTTCTTTCTTCTTTCTTTCTTTCTCTCTCTTCTTTCTCTCTCTCTCTTTCTTTCTCTCTCTCTCTCTCTCTCTCTCTCTTTCTTTCTCTTCTCTCTCTCTTCTCTCTCCCCTCTCTTTCTCTCTCCCTCCCTTTCTTTCTCTCTCTGTCTTTTTTTTTTTCTCTCTCTCTTTCTTTCTCTCTCCTGTTATCTATTGCTCTTTAACTCATTTCTATCTGTTATCTCTCTATCCCACCCCTTCTTCTGTCTATCTAGTTAGCTATTAACTTTCTTTTTCTTTCTTTCTTTCTTTCTTTTTCTTTCTTTTTCTTTCTTTCTTATCTTTCTCTTCTCTCTCTCTCTCTTTCTCTTTCTAACTCTCTCTCTTTCTCTCTCCTGTTATCTATCTCTCCTGTGACCCCAGTTTTAACTCCTGTATGTTTTTTCCCATAACCTGCAGAGCAGACACTTTCTTCACTGTAAAATATCATTTATAGAGTTAAGGTCCTTCTATGATTAATTCACTCTTTCCATGGACCTCAGTAAACAATACAAAGATTTGGCAGGATAAAGTCTAACCATTAAAATGGGAGATATCCTAGAACTGACAGTAGAATTTTATGGTCAGGATGCAGTTCCAGACACCACCAACAGGCAGAATCTGGAATTACATATGTGTGAATGTTCTATGAGAAGGAACACATTTTAGTGCATTTACAAAAAAACAATACAGAGCTATTTGTCCTGTGAAACTGCATGTACATTCATTGAGTGTGAATGGGGGCAAAGTGAAATGTTATTAGACAATTTGCCTTCCAGGTCATATGTTATTCATTCATTCAGAATACAGTGAATCAGGAAAGTATTGTATTAGGGCCACTAGATGGAGCTGATTATCATAGTAAATCAATATTTATTTACTATGATTTCCAGCTCCATCTAGTGACCATTGTGCAGTATTTTTCCTGATTCATCATATACTTTCTATATGAATATTATTGTTAGAAGTTTTAGTGTTTTCTATATGAATAACCTTTCCATCTGGAGAGAAACTATCCTAATAATATTTGATTTTGCTCCCATTCCCACAGAACAAATGTCCATGCAATTTCACAAGAGGAATAGCTCTGCAAATCTTTTACCAGTACACCCATTTGTGTTGTTTCTGTTTTTTTTTTTCCTGGAAAGGCACTAGAAAGGCTAAGTACCCTCAAATCTAATATTATTTTAGTTTTTCATGGTTGTTGTTCGGCTAAATGATAAGACTTTTCATATCTCTCTGGGGCTCCAGTAAGGAGATATTTTCACTGAAATTCCTGATTCTGTGCAGCTCCTGCAACTTTTACAAAGCCAAATACCTATATTAAATACCTCTTTGCCCTTTTCAGGATACGCTGAGGCTCCTCCCAAGGGGCCCCGAGACATGACCATGAGAGACTGCTCTGCAAATCCTCCGGTAAGGTATTGGAAAAGGAAGGAAATTCTCAATAGCTGTCCCCTAAAAACTAGGAATGTAACTGGTAATCAATAACCCCGGATCTGTTATTGATCAAGCTTTTAGCAATTAAAGTGTATGTAAAATAGAAATGAAAGGTGAAACATGTGTGTATGAATATAACAAACATTATAAATACCTTTTTTATCTCCCTTTTTATAAGCATAAGGAGTTCAGAGAGCTGGAGGAGGAGAAACAGCAGCACACTGGTCTTACCAGTGAATGGCTGTGTGTCTGTGGGGGGGGGGGGGGGGGGTCTCAGCTCAAGTCTGATCATTGGAGGAAAGGAGGCTGAGTTCCCAGCACAGCTAGGGAACTGACCACACTGTGCTCTCATGCCTAGTGTGGTCAGTCATATAAAGTGGAGAGCTGGGGAGGAGAAACAGCAGTACACTAATCTTACCAGTTAATGGCTGTGTGTGTGTGTGTGTGGGAGGAGGTCTCAGCTCAAGTCTGGTCATTAGAGGAAAGGAGGCTGGTTTCCCAGCACAGCTAGAGAACTGACCACATTGTGCTCTCATGTCTAGTGTGGTCAGTCATATAAAGTGGAGAGCTGGGGGAAAGAAGCAGCAGCACACTGGTCTTACCAGTGAATGGCTATGTGCATGTGTGTGTTGTGTGTGTGTGTGTGTGTGTGTGTGTGTGTGTGTGGGGGGGGGGTCAGCTCAAGTCTGTCATTAGAGGAAAGGAGGCTGAGTTCCCAGCACAGCTAGAGAACTGACCACACTGTGCTCTTATGCCTAGTGTGGTCTGTCATATAAAGTGGAGTTTTTCTTTAAATCAGGGATGCTCAACCCTGTGAAGAGCAAGGGCCACTTAAATGATTTGGTAACGGGTTGAGGGCCACAGGGAAATTAAATAGTTGACAATTTTTCATTTTGAATTGCATAATTAACATTTTTTTCTCCTGCAGCCACATAATGCTTGTGGGAGGGAGAGGAGGAGAAGCCGGATTTCAGTGGTTGCAGGAGGAAAATGGAGGGGATTGGTTCCTGTATATGCTGCCCCCTGCCCCTCCTGTCCAAGTCTAAAACAGAATGTGACAGGGAGGCTGCATGGGCCCCCTGGAGCATGCAGCAGGGGTCACATTTGCAACCCCTGACGCTACACTAGTGGTTTTGGGGGGTAAAAACACCCCAAGCAGCAAATGTAAACAAGCCCTGACGGTTCTGAGCCCCCTATAAGGCAGCTCTCACACTGAAGTGCTGCAGTTTATCTGTGGGTTAGCTGCGCTTTGCCATAGACTTCCATTATATATTGTGGGTGTGGTGAACGATCGGAAAAAATCCACAGAAGTGTACTTCCCTGGTTTGAGGTCGAGGGCCACATCAGAGGGCTGCAAGGACCACATGTGGCCTGCAGGTTTGAGCACACTTGCTTTAAATGTATTCTATCAAAAGCAAGCAGTGTAAGAATCTGAATGTTTATCTAGAGCTCAGGGACGGGGAGGGAGTAGGAGCACAAGGAGCCAATCAGTTCATGTGCTGACAAGAAGCACGCTGAGGGAGGAGAGAACAGAGTGACAGAGAGATGAGACCGTCACTGTGCTGCTTCCCCTTTCACTGTCAAGTCACAGGCTGGGGGTGGGTCCAGGATGATCTGGGATCAGAGAAAGTGGGCTGAATGAGGTTGATGGGGATCTTCCAATGGGGACACCTGTTCCAGGGACAACTGTGTAAGATGGGGTTTTCCTGCACTTTTGGGAGTTTTTCCTCTGACTTCCTGTTGTGTCCTTGAGACAGCAAGTGAAGGGATATCCCCCCAAAGGAGAACAGCGAGATAAAATCAAAAAGATCCAAACCCTCCCTACCATGTTTATCTTTCATACTAGATTTATTGTATTTTCATATTAGTGGTGGGGATGAAGTTTCTTCTTTCATCTTCTTCTTTCTTTCTCTCTTTCTTCTTCTTTCTTATTTCTTCGTCTTTTTCTTCTTCCTTCTTCTTCTTTCCTCTTCTTCTTTTCTTCTTTCTTCTTCTTTCTTTCTTCTTCTTCCTATTTTCTTCTTCTTCCTCTTCTCCTTCTTTCTTCTATCTTTCTTCTTCTTCTTTCTCTTTCTTCGTCTTCTTTCTTCTTCCTTTTGCTTCTTCCTCTTTCTTCTTCTTTCTTTCTTCTTCTTCTTTCTTCTTCCTTTTGCTTCTTCTTTCTTCTTCTTCTTTCTTCTTTCTTATTTCTTTTCTTTCTTTTCTTTCTTTCTTTCTTCTTCTTCCTTCCTTCTCTCTTTTTTTTTCTTCTTTCTTTTTTCCTTCTTTATCTTCTTTATGTATGTATGTATTTATTTATTTTTTTCTTGTTCTTTCTTCTTTTTTTTTTCCTCTTCAAAGGACAACAGTGAGATAAAATCAAAAATATCCAAAACCCTCCCCCTACCATGTTTATCTTTCATACTAGATTTATTGTATTTTTCATATTAATGGTGGGGATGAAGTTTTTTCTTTCATCTTCTTTTTTCTTCCATTTTCCTTCTTTCTTCTTCTTTCTTCTTTCCTCTTCTTCTTCCTCTTTCTTTTTTCTATCTTCCTTCTTCTTCCTCTTTTCTTCTTCCTTTTTCTTCTTCTTTTTTCCTCTTCTTTCTCTTCTTTTTCTTCTTCCTATTTCTTCTTCTTTCTTCTTCTTCTTCTTCTTCTTTCTTCTTCCTTCTCTCTTTTTTTTTCTTCTTTCTGCTCTTATCTTCTTTATGTATGTATGTATTTATTTATTTTTTTCTTGTTCTTTCTTCTTTTTTTTTTCCTCTTCTATTTTTTTTCTTTCTTACTTCTTCTTCCTTCTTATTTTATTTTCTTATTTTGCACCCAGTATATTCCACCCACTGTAAAGGTTTCCACAGAAGATTTGATCCAAGCTCCGCCAGGAAATGAGAAACCACAACATCAGTGCTTACATCATCCCGCCAACTGACCCCCACCTGGTAATTCGTTTTTTTCTTGCTCGTTGCCATCATATTGATCCAAACTATTTATAGCTCTCTTTAGCAAAATGTATGCCTTACGTGAGTGTTGATTTTGATTTTTGCCAGTAATGAAATTATGATTAGAGATGTCATGTTTTTCTGTTTCATTATTTTTGTAAATATATATATATATATTTTAGCAACGACTTTATTGTGTGTTTATAGTAGTATGAAAGTTACTTTTATTGTATTTATTGATTTTTTGTGATTATTTTATTAAATAGCATTATTGCAACATTCTTTTTTTTAGAATTGGACCTTTCCTTTTCTTTGCTGAAATCGATTTATGTAACAGGTCCTTTTACAATATGAATTAAATTTTTTTGAATGAACTTATATTCTTGCACTTATATTGTTGCCCTGATGCGGGGGGGCTGTCTGAATGCCAAAAATGGGTATTTCTTTTTATTAAACTGTATTATTGCAACATTTGAGTTTTAAAAATAGACATTTCTTTTCCTTTTTTTTCAATAGATTTTTGTAACCCCTCGCCCTCCAGAGGATTTCCCCCCCCCCTTCCTGACCAGGTCATTTTTTTTGCGATACAGCGCTGCGTTACTTTTACTGACAATTGCGCGGTCATGCAAGGCTGAATCCAAATTGAATTTATGTCCTTCTTTACCCACAAATACAGCTTTCTTTCAGTGGTATTTGATGTTTCTGAATTTTTTATTTTTTGTGCTATAAACAAAGAAAGACCGACAATTTTGAAAAAAAAAAACACAATATTTTTGACACTTTGCAATAAAACATGTCCAGTGAAAAAAATTTTAAAAAAAAAATCAAATTTTGTCATAAATTTAGGCCAAAATGTATTCTGCTCCTTGTCTTTGCTAAAACAAAAAATCCCAATACGTGTAAATTAATTGGTTTACAAAGTTATAGCGTCTACAAATGGCGGTATAGATTATTATTATTATTATTATTATACAGTATTTATAAAGCGCTGATAGTTCGCTACGCTGTACATTACAATGGGGGAAAACATGTGACAGAACAATACCAATACAATGCAAAACATGAGGGGATCGAGGGCCCTGCTCTTTGGAGCTTACAATCTAGGAGGTAGATACTGGGATTTTTTTTTTTTATATACTAGTAATGGCGGCGATCAGCGACTAATTGCCAGACTGCAGGACACTGACTAACTGTCATTAACATCCCCAGTGACACCAATACAGTGATCAGCGCTAAGAAAAAGCACTGACACTGTACTAATGGCACTGGGCAGGAAGGGGTTAACATCTGGGGCAATCAAAAGGTTAACTGTGATGCTGTTTTTTTACGTTACTTCCCTGGTTTGAGGTCGAGGGCAGGGGCGGACTGACAACTCATGGGGCCCCCGGGCAATAGGGGATCATGGGGCCCCTGTGTCCTTGCCCAAACTCAAAAAAAGCCCATGAAAAAGGTACCAGAAGCATCTCATGGGGCCACCTACTGACCCCGGGCCCTCGGGCAGTGCCCGAGTATCCAAATGGTCAGTCCGCCCCTGGTCGAGGGCCACATCAGAGGGCTGCGAGGACCACATGTGGCCTGCAGGTTGAGCTCCCTTGCTTTAAATGTATTCTATCAAAAGCAAGCAGTGTAAGAATCTGACTTTTACCTGGAGCTCAGGGACGGGGGGAGTAGGAGTAGTGCTGTGTATATATTTAGACACTATTATTATTTATGTTTATTTATATTTATAATACGTTTTTTGTGCTTTTTTTTTTTCATTTTTTTTCACATTTTTTTGTTTGATTATTGGTCAACAAGGAGCAGCAACAATGCTTTCCTTCATTCCTTTTTCTCATGTAGCCAATAAAGCCTCCTGCATTTGGATGACACTGAAGTACCGGTGATATTATTCCTGGATGCTGTATAAGGGTGAAGTCACTGAAGCCAGGTCCCCGGATTTCCTGTCTCCAGAATGGACCGTGGTCCTTTTAGTCCCATCTGAACCCCAGTGCATTACCAAGGTTTATTGTAGGAGTGAAAGAATAATAAAAACATACTCACAGACGAAGCATGTATCTAAAAAGCATAGAAAAATGACAATGGCCACAACGGCAGGCAAGGTGTTCTCACTGTCAGTGCGGTCAAATGGCTGACGCGTTTCGGGGACGAATCCCTTTCCTCAGAGCTGATGACCAACCTCTGATGCTGATGTATGATGAATGGAAAGTAAGAGCCTTGCTGTTGATGCCTGAGTGGGATGGTGTGGGAGTGTGCTTTATGCCTCCCACACCATCCCACTCAGGCATCAACAGCAAGGCTCTTACTTTCCATTCATCATACATCAGCATCAGAGGTTGGTCAGCAGCTCTGAGGAAAGGGATTCGTCCCCGAAACGCGTCAGTCACTTGACCGCACTGACAGTGAGAACACCTTGCCTGCCGTTGTGGCCATTGTCATTTTTCTATGCTTTTTAGATACATGCTTCGTCTGTGAGTATGTTTTTATTATTCTTTCATTCCTACAATATACCTTGGATAATGCACTAGGTGTGTGCACCACCTGTTTTCTCTCTATCCAGTGGCTGATTTCCCCGTCTGAGGGGGGCTGCACCCCTGAAGCATTTCCTTTGGTTGTCGCTGTCCTGGTACCCTTGGCTTCCATTTTGGCTGTGCATGTCCTGAGGCACTGGAGAGTACATACGATATCCAACTGAACCCCAATCACCATTTTCTGATGATCAGACGAGGAGTGGTGTAGGGATTTCCTAAAAGGAAAAAAAAAAATAGCTGATAATACTTCATTTTTGTAACATGTTGGAAAACTTCTAAAAATCGTCTTTTTTTGTTTGTTTTTTTTTGTCCAGATATACACTTTTAAAAAATATGACACCTAATGATCCCTCCTTATGCATCCTGTATACAGGGGGAGTACACTGCAAACCGGGAAAAGCGAAGACAATGGCTGACTGGATTCACTGGATCTTCAGGTAATGATCCCCCCAGAATGCTGTACTGTAACCAGGGGCGGACTGACAACTCATGGGGCCCCCGGGCAATAGGGGATCATGGGGCCCCCTGTGTCCTTGCCCAAACTCAAAAAAGCCTATGAAAAAGGTACCAGGGGCATCTCATGGGGCCCCCTACTGACCCCGGGCCCCTCGGGCAGTGCCAGAGTTTCCAAATGGTCAGTCCGCCCCGACTGTAACTATAATAGACATGCGCAGTTTGTTTTGTTCTGAATCAGAATTTATTGTTATTCAGAGATTTGGATGTATGCAAATTTCCAAATTACAGTGATAAAGAGTTCCAAAATAACAAAAGGAAATTTGGACAAAATTCGAATTGAATCTGAATCAAATTTGACTCGAATTTGAATACTAAAAGAATAGAATAAAACATTAAAGAATAGAATAGAAAAGAAAAAATAGAACAACAATAGAATACAATAGAAAATAATAGAATAGACTGGAATAGAATAGAATAGAAAAAAAAACAATAGAATAGAACAAAAATAGAAAGAATATAACTGTCTTCCGAAATTCAAATTTTGCCACCAAGTACATGTTTTGTGAAGGGGATCGAATACTTATTTCCCTCATGAACATGCAGATCAGTCATCATTTGTTAGACATGCATTTATGCTGAATTTTTTGTTGCTATTCTGTCTCTCAGTGTTACAATACACCGAACATTCGATTTTTTAGACCGATCATTTCTTTGTGAGTGGGCAAACATTCAAAATCAGCAGGGGAGGAAATACTTATTTCCTTCACTGTACTAAAAGAATAGAATAGAAAAAGAATAGAATATAAAAGAATAGATTAGAATAGAATGGAAAAGAATAGAATATAAAAGAATAGATTAGAATAGAATGGAAAAGAATAGAATAGAAAAAACAATAGAATAGAATAAAATAGAAAGAATATAACTATCTTCCAATTTTTGAAATTCAAATTTCGAATATAATAGAATTGGATAAGAAAAGCACAGAAAAGAAAAGAACAGAATATAATTAAATAAATAGAAAAACCAATAGAATAGAATAAAATAGTAAATCAATGTCTTCCGAGATTTGAATTTCGAATAACATAAATTCAAATAGAAGAGAATAGAATAAAAAAGAAAAAAACAATAGAATAGAATAGAAAAAAAAGAATGTAACTGTCTGCCAAAATTCAAATTTCAGGTATAATAAATTTGAATTTTAACAGAATAGATTAGAATAGAATAGAAAAGGCTAGAATAGAGTAGAATAGAAAAAACAATAGAACAGAATAAAATATAAAGAGTATAACTGTTTTTCAAAAATTCAGATTTTAAAGCGGAGTTCCACTCATGTTGTCAAAAAATAAAAGTCAGCAGCTACAAAAACTGTAGCTGCTGACTTTTAAAAAACAGCCACTTACCTGTCCCTCGGTCCCGTGGTGTGTCCCCCGCAGCCCATTTCACCTGTATTCCAGGAGGCCGGCATCTTTAGTGTGGGCACCCGGCTGTGACAGCTTGCGGCTTCACAGCTGGGTGTCCACTGAGCATGTGCAAGTAGCGCTGCGCTTCATGAATGGTCCTGTGGTCTTCTGGGACTTGTCACGTGTCCCAAAAGACTACAGGAAGAGAGGGAGGATACCTAGGCGATCGGACCGGAAGTGGGAGGGGGTACCTGTCAAATTCGGTTACCCGCTCCCCCCCCCAAAGGTGCCAATCCTTAATAGGGAGCCCGGGATCAGTCCTTAAAATGGAACTTCCCCTTTTGGGTGGAGCTCCGCTTTAAATAGAATAAATTTGAATCTGAATAGAATAGATTAGAAAAGAATAGAATAGAATCAAATTGAAAAAAAAAACCCAATAGAACAGTCTTCAGCACAAACAAGATACTCTTTGGTAATCCGCCACTGCTCAGTCCACAAGCTCTCCCTCTCACAGTCTGAGTGCTGCTGTGCAGAGGGTGAAAGGTGGTTAATTTAACCACCTCCCGCCCGCCATATAAGGTAATGACGGACACAAGGCGGTTCTCTTGTTCTGGGAGGATGTCATATGATGTCCTCCCACTCTAACCGCGCATGTGCGGCTCCGGGGAGCGCGCAGAGCGGCGATTGGTGGTGCGCTTTGTCCCCTGGACACAGCAGATTACTGATCAATGGAAAGGGCTGAAGACGTCGGCTTGATCATGTGATCAGCTGTGTCCAATCACAGCTGATCGCATGTAAACACGGAAATGTCGGTTATCGGCATTTTTCTCCTCACGAGCTGTCACACTGACAGAGGAGAGGAGAGCCGGTAATCGGCATTCCGTGGAGGGGAAATGTACACTGATCATCAGGGCACTGATGATCAGTGTAGCTCCAGCAGTGCCAGCTGTCAGTGCTCATCAATGCCACCTGCCAGTGCCCATCAGTGCCACATCAATGCCACATATCAGTGCCCATTGAGTTGCCTTTCAGTGTCACCTATCAGTGCCAGTCAGTGCCACCTATCAGTGCTGCCAGTCAATGCCACCTATCAGTGCTGACAATCAGTGCCACCTATCAGTGCCAGTCAGTGCCACCTATCAATGCTGGTCAATGCCACCTATCAGTGCTGCCAGTCAGTGCCACCTATCTGTGCCAGTCAGTGCTGCCAGTCAGTGCCTCCTATCAGTGCTCGTCAGTGGTAAACTATCAGTGCCACCTATCAGTGCCAGTCAGTGCCTCCTATCAGTGCTCATCAGTGGTAACTATCAGTGCCGCCTATCAGTGCCAGTCAGTGCCGTCTATCAGTGCCGTCTATGGGTGCTGCCTTTCAGTGCCCATCAGTGATGCCTGTCAATGCCCATCAGTGCCACCTACTAGTGCCTCCTCATCAGTGCCCATCAGTGCAGCCTATCAGTGCCCATCACTGCAGCCTCATTAGCGCACATCAGTGAAGGAGAAAAATCACTTATTTACAAAATTTTATAACAAAAACTTGTTTTTCTTTTAAATTTTCAGTTGTTTTTGGTTTGTTTAGCAAAAAATAAAAAATCCCAGAGGGGATTAAATACCACCAAAAGAAAGCTCTATCTGTCTAAAAAAATGATAAAAAATTCATATGGGTACAGTGTTGCATGACCGCGCAATTGTCCTTCAAAGTGTGACAGTGCTGAAAGCTGAAAACTGGCTGGACAGGAAGGGGGTAGAAGTGCCCGGTAGGCAGGAAGGGGGTAGAAGTGCCCTGTAGGCAGGAAGGGGGTAGAAGTGCCCTGTAGGCAGGAAGGGGGTAGAAGTGCCCTGTAGGCAGGAAGGGGGTAGAAGTGCCCTGTAGGCAGGAAGGGGGTAGAAGTGCCCTGTAGGCAGGAAGGGGGTAGAAGTGCCCTGTAGGCAGGAAGGGGGTAGAAGTGCCCAGTAGGCAGGAAGGGGGTAGAAGTGCCCTGTAGGCAGGAAGGGGGTAGAAGTGTGTCCGGTAGGCAGGAAGGGGGTAGAAGTGCCCTGTAGGCAGGAAGGGGGTAGAAGTGCCCTGTAGGCAGGAAGGGGGTAGAAGTGCCCTGTAGGCAGGAAGGGGGTAGAAGTGCCCTGTAGGCAGGAAGGGGGTAGAAGTGCCCTGTAGGCAGGAAGGGGGTAGAAGTGTCCTGTAGGCAGGAAGGGGGTAGAAGTGCCCTGTAGGCAGGAAGGGGGTAGAAGTGCCCTGTAGGCAGGAAGGGGGTAGAAGTGCCCTGTAGGCAGGAAGGGGGTAGAAGTGTCCGGTAGGCAGGAGGGGGTAGAAGTGCCTGTAGGCAGGAAGGGGGTAGAAGTGCCCTGTAGGCAGGAAGGGGGTAGAAGTGTCCTGTAGGCAGGAAGGGGGTAGAAGTGCCCGGGTAGGCAGGAAGGGGGTAGAAGTGCCCTGTAGGCGAGGGGTTAAAGACACTTTCCTAAAGCAGCTATTTAAAAAAATGTATTTAGTCCGGGATCACACCGAATGCAACCTTGAAATCACTTGAAGTTGCGCAATTTCAACGCCGCGGATCAGTGCGATTTGTACCTCTGATTTCACTGCGGTTTGTGACTTCATTTAACAGAAGTCAATGCAAGTCGCAATGAAATCAGAAAAAAGTCGTGAGTCGTGGAGGAACTATTTTTGACATTGTGCTACTTCAGATCACACTGATTAAGTGCCATAGAAATACATCAGATGTGACTTTAGGTGCAATTTTTAAATTGCATGTCGCACCTGAAGTTACTCCGGTGTGAACCAGGGCTCAAAGTAGTTCTAAAGGCAGAAGGTTTTTTTACCTTAAAAAAAATGCCCCCCTCAGCCCCACCTTCCTCCTTATAATTATCTGATCTTGATTTTGATCCAGCGATGTGCACAAGAGCCACGGCTTTCCCAAGTCTCTTTCTTCTCATTGACTCACACAGCAGTGGGAGCCATTGGCTCTTGCTGCTGTCAATCACAGCCAGTGAGCCAATGAGAGAGAGCTGAAGGTGGGGCAGAGCTGCGCTCTGTATGTGAACGGACAATGTCCATTCACAGGAGTGCGGCTCAGGAGGGAGCATGCTTAAGTGCCCCGATAGCAAGAGACTTGCTTTTGGGGTGCTTGGGGGGAGGAGGAGCCAGGATCAGGGGAATTAAAAAAGAAAAGGATCGTGACTGCTCTGTACAAAACCATTACACAGAGCAGGCATGTATGACGTGTTTTTTCTATTACAACCTTTAGAAGCACTTTAAACCGTTCTTGCTCCATCCAAAACTAAAAATTAAAAGTTTTAGCTGCATACACTTTACTGCACCCAGAGGGGCTTTTTAACATCTGCTTGGTGGTCGGCTTTAAGTTTCTGTATCTGGTGTGACTCAGTAATAATTAAACGGAATCATCTCTTCCTCTCACTGAGATAAGATAGAGAAGCCTTCTATCAGCTTCTCAGATTGTTTTATTACTTTGTTTGTTGTAAAGTGTTCCTGTGAGGATAAGTCATTGTGACTTGTATTTGTATGGAAAACAAATGATTGAATAGGGACATCAAATTCCTATTCCTTCCCTTTCCCTTCCCTTCCTTTCCTTTCCTTTCCTTTTCCTTCCATTTCCCCTTTCCTCTCCCCTTTCCTTTCCTTTTCCCTTCCATTTCCCTTTCCTCTCCCCTTTCCTTTCCTTTCCACTTTCACTTCCCTTTCCTTCCTTCCATTTCCCCTTTCCCCTTTTTCCTTCCCTTTCCTTCCCTTTCCTTTTCTTCCCTTTCCTTTCCTTTTTTCCCTTTCCCTTCCCTTTCCCCTTCCTTTTCCTTCCTTCCATTTTCCCTTTTTCCTTTCCTTCCCTTTTCTTACCTTTCTTTTCCTTTCCTTTTTCCTTCCATTTCCCCTTTCCTCTCCCCTTTCCCCTTCCCTTTCCTTCCTTCCATTTCCCCTTTCCTTTCCTTTCCTTTCCTCTTCCCTTTCCTTTCCTTTTCTTCCCCCCTTTCTCCTTTTTCCTTTCCCTTTCCTTTCCTTTTCTCTCCCCCTTTCCTCTCCCCTTTCCCCACCTTTTCCTTTCCTTTCCATTCCTTTCCTTTCTTTCCCCCTTTCTCCTTTCCTTTCCTTTCCCCTTTCCTTTCTCCTTTCCTTTTCCTTTCCTTTCCATTCCTTTCCTTTCATTTCCTTTCCAATTTCCCCTTCCCTTTCCTTCCTTTCCTTTTTCTTTTCTTTTCCTTTCCTTTCTCCTTTCCTTTTCCTTTCCTTTCCATTCCTTTCCTTTCATTTCCTTTCCAATTTCCCCTTCCCTTTCCTTCCTTTCCTTTTTCTTTTCTTTTTCCTTTCCTTTCCTTTCCTTTCCATTCCTTTCCTTTCATTTCCTTTCCAATTTCCCCTTCCCTTTCCTTCCTTTCCTTTTTCTTTTCTTTTCCTTTCCTTTCCTTTCCTTTCCTTTCCTTTCCTTTCCTGTACTCCCCATTATCCCACGCTGCTCTCAGACTCGACCCTATTATATCCCATATACGTGTCCAGTATTGAAGAAGAGGTGCACTTCCGTCCAGCCAGCCTAGTGTAGACTTGAAAATGGCCTCTGCCCATGAGTCTCTTCCAGAGCCACGCCCCCTGACATGTTTTGCCTCAACTACCGAACTTAATCATTGGGGTGCTCCAGTGGATGGAGCGAAACATGTCAGGGGGTGTTGCTCAAGAGGCCTCTTCCAAGTCTAGACTATGCTGGCTGGACGGGAATGCAGTATGCATCGCTTCGGATGAGCACATTTCCCAGCCTGCACCTTTCTCATTGGTGACTGTGAGGGTTTGGCCTCCCCAGCTTGAGCGGCATTCATAGTCAAGTACTAAGGTCACTGTGTCCAGTATTGGTTATAATTCAGTATACAAATCAGAATTTAAACCACCTGCTCTTACATCCTGCTGATCTCACATTTGGCAGTGAGCAGATTGTTGATCAGAAAGGCCGAACACGTAATTGTCGGTTTCCCTCGCTGATGTCTTATTTTTCCAGCACAGTCATGGCTAAGAGACCAGTCGGTCTCCCATCACAGAATGGCCCTTTTTTCAAAAGCAGGTGGAAGGAAATGTGAAAAAGAGAAATACAGAAACACTTTAGAAGAGCTGTATAGTAAATACACTATATTGCCAAAAGTATTGGCCCCGCCCTCCAAGTCATGTGATTCAGGTGTTCCAATCCCCTCCATGGAGACAGGTGTATAAGATCATCACCTAAGCATGCAGACTGCTTCTACAAACATTGGTGAAAGAATGGGTCGCTCTCAGGAGCTCAGTGGCTCCAAGCGTGGTCCCGTGATAGGTGGCCACCTGTGCAATAAGTCCATCCGTGACATTTCCTGGCTGCTAAATATTCCACGCTCAACTGTTAGTGGGATTATAACAAAGTGGAAGCAACTGGGAACAACAACAACTCAGCCACCACAAGTGGTAGGCCACGTCACATGACAGGGCGGGGTCAGCGCATGCTGAAGCGCACAGTGCGCAGAAGTCGCCAACTGTCTGCAGAGTCAATAGCTAAAGACCTCCAAACTTGGTGTGGGCCTTCAGATGAGTCCAACAACAGTGCATAGAGAGCTTCATGGAATGGGTTTCCATGGCCGAGCAGCTGCATCCAAGCCTTCCATCACCAACTGCAATGCAAAGCATCGGATGCCGTGGTGTAAAGCACGCCGCCACTGGACTCTAGAGCATGAGACGCGTTCTCTGAATTGACCAATCATTCCTCTGTCCAGCAATCCGATGGATGTGTCTGGGTTTGGCAGTTGCCAGGAGAATGGTACTTGCCTGACTGCATTGTGCCAAGTATAAAGTTTGGTGGAGGGGGGGGGATTATGGTGTGGAGTTGTTTCTCAGGGGTTGGGCTTGGCCCCCTAGTTCCAGTGAAGGGAACTCTTAAAGCATCAGCATACCAAGACATTTTGGATTTCCCAACTTTGTGGGAAGAGTTTGGGGATGGCCCCTTCCTGTTCCAACATGACTGCCCCCCAGTGCACAAAGCAAGGTCCATAAAGACATGGATGAGCCAGTTTGGGGTGGAGGAACTTGACTGGCCTGCACAGAGTCCTGACCTCAACCCCATAGAACACCTTTGGGATGAATTAGAGTGGAGACTGCGAGCCAGGCCCCCTCCCCCGACATCAGTGCCTGACCTGACAAATGTGCTTCTGGAAGAATGGTCCAACCTTCCCATAGACACCCTCCTAAACCTTTTTGGACGGCCTTCCCAGAAGAGTTGAAGCTGTTATAGCTGCAAAGGGCGGGGCCAACTCAATATTGAACCCTACGGACTAAGACTGGGGGCCATTAAAGTTCATGTGTGTGGGAAGGGCGGGGCCAACTCAATATTGAACCCTACGGACTAAGACTGGGGGGCCATTAAAGTTCATGTGTGTGGGAAGGGCGGGGCCAACTCAATATTGAACCCTACGGACTAAGACTGGGGGGCCATTAAAGTTCATGTGCGTGGAAAGGGGCGGCGGCCTTTACTTCTGGCAATATAGTGTAGGTTAATTCGAAAAGATATTCACATCCCAACAGTGATTCTAAGCGGATGATTTACAAAAGATTTTTTTCCCTCATAGTCCGGTGGAGCTGCATTCAAACATCCAAGCAAATGTGAGATGTTTCCCTTTTTTCTAAGGTTCCCTGAGCATGATCAGCTGTTTGAAGTGAATGGAGATTCTCTGAGCTAAATGAAAATGTTACATAATGAGGGAAATGTACATCATCTGATATAACATGGTGTCTATGACTCTTGCTGGTTTAGGCACAGCTGCGGTGACTTTGACCAGAGCAGCCGTATTCACCGACAGCCGGTACTGGACCCAGGCTGAGCGCCAGATGGACTGCAACTGGGAGCTGCAACAGACGTGTAAGTGGATGTTCCTGCCATTAAAATACTGCAATGGGCAGCACAGTGGCTAAGTGGTTAGCACTTCCACCTAGCAGCACTAGGGTCCTCGGTTTGAATCCCAGCTACGGCACTGGAGTTTGCATTTTTCTCCCTGTGTCTGTATAGATTTCCACCGGGTACTCCGGTTTCCTTCCACACTCCAAAGACATGCTGGTAGGTTAATTAACTCCTGGGTGTATTGTCCCTAGTATGTGCATGTATGAATGTGAGTTAGGGACCTTAGATTATACGCTCCTTGAGGGTGGGGACCAGGGGCGGACTGACCATTTGGAAACTCGGGCACTGCCCGAGGGCCCGGGGTCAGTAGGGGGCCCCATGAGATGCCCCTGGTACCTTTTTCATAGGCTTTTTTGAGTTTGGGCAAGGACACAGGGGCCCCATGATCCCCTATTACCCGGGGGCCCCATGAGTTGTCAGTCCACCCCTGGTGGGGACTGATGTGCATGCATAATAGATAATCTGCATAAATTCATGGCACTATACAGTGGTGTATTTGGGTTTTCTACTGCCCTGGGCAACACAAAAATCGTGTGCCAACCCCCTCCCCCCACGTGCCCCTCTCCCTGTGCCAACCCCCCCCCCCCCAATGAGAGAGAGAGTTGGATCTTACAGAACTCACCTTCACAGTCAGAGATTGCCAAGGCCATGATCTTGGAAGCCTGTGGTGAGCTCAGCTAGTTATCTAGACATCCTCGGGAACGACAGTTGGGCTCTGCCACCCTCCAGCATCCCCGGGAATGACAGTTGGGCTCGCAAACATCCAGCAGCCTGCAGTATCTTTTGGATCCCATGTGGCAGAGCAGAGCTCATGCAGTGCCTCACCAGGTCTGGTCCCTATCTTCACATATATCCTTTCTTCCGGGGTGCGACACCAACCCCCCCTGAAAAATGCCACCCAAGACAAACACCTTGATCGCCTCACGGTAAATACCCCCCCCATGCGCCCCTCTGCCCCTCTCCCTGTGCCCCCCCCCCAATCAGAGAGAGAGTTGGATCTTACAGCACACACCTTCCCAGCTGGAGATTGCCAGGGCCATGATCAGGGAAGCCCGGGTGAGCTCAGCCAGTTATCCGGACATCCCCAGGAATGATAGTCGGGCTCTGCACCTTCCAGCAGTCCGCAGTCTCTTTCGGATCCCATGTGGCAGAGCGGAGCTCATGCAGTGCCTCACCAGGTCTGGTCCCCATCTTCACATGTGTGTCCCTTCTTTTGGGGTGTGACACCACCCCCCTGAAAAATGCCACCCAAGACAAACGCCTTGTTCGCCTCGCGGTAAATACACCCCTGGAACTATACAAGTACCTATTATAAATAAGTCTCCCGTATCATGCTGAGCCTCCATGATTGAAAGAACTGAATGAAAGGGGCAGACCAGGCTGGGGAGCGGTGTGGCCCTTATGCAAATATCAAAATGTTAATGGGTGGGTGTCATTCTGAAGAAGTGGGCATTCCTCTATAGACTGTTTTTGCACCCCATGCTGATAACACCCGCATGTAATGCTAACACTCCAGTCAGACTGGGAAGATAAGTGATAGATGATGCTGGGCATCATCCAGCCAGAAAATGAGGCGGAGCTTTATCTGCCTTGCTGCAGCTTCTAATGCACATGGTGAGAAGCTCACAGTGTGTAGTGAAATCAGAGGAAGCCATTTCAGTCCAGGAGAGGAGTCGGTACAACTGGGCAAGACTGAAGGGGAGCAGCCGGTACAACTGGGCGAGGCTGAAGGGGAGGAGCCAGTACAACTGGGTGAGACTAAAGGGGAGGAGCCGGTACAACTGGGCGAGACTGAAAGGGAGGAGCCAGTACAACTGGGCGAGACTGAAGGGGAGCAGCCGGTACAACTGGGCGAGACTGAAGGGGAGCAGCCGGTACAACTGGGCGAGGCTGAAGGGGAGGAGCCGGTACAACTGGGCGAGGCTGAAGGGGAGGAACCGGTACAACTGGGCGAGACTGAAGGGGAGCAGCCGATACAACTGGGCGAGACTGAAGGGGAGGAGCCGGTACAACTGGGCAAGACTGAAGGAGATGGAGCTGGTACAACTGGGCGAGGCTGAAGGGGGAGGGGCCAGTACAACTGGGCGAGACTGAAGGGGAGGAGCCGGTACAACTGGGCGAGGCTGAAGGGGAGGAGCTGGTACAACTGCGCAAGACTAAGAAAGGATTGAAAGCTCACACAGCCTTTCATAGGGCAATTTTCCAACTGTGCAAGACTGAAGGGAAGGCTGGAGATCAGATTTAAAGGGAATGGGTCATGAGATTGGGATTGTCTTACTGTGTTCTTCTAAAACTTGGTCATTGTTCTAATACAGAATTGTGTGATCTTAATATTGTATTCAGTGTCAGCTCCGGCCGTCGTGTCCTGGATCCTGGAAGAGGTGAAGATTGGAGAAGTAGTTGGCTTTGATCCTTTTCTCTTATCGATCAGTAAGTTATATTTGTCATATTCTGTATTGGAAGTTAAGGACATCTTCCTAATGCTAATACTTGAGTTATTGAAATTGGGGGTGACTCTTTCTCCGGGCCGGGACAAGGGTGGGCAGAAGGGACAGCTCCCCTGCATACCTCCTACCTTGAGATCTCCCTTCTATAGTCCCTAACGTGATGGGAGCTGCTCATAATGGTGTGCAGTCCGAGGAACTCAGTACAGAGATATTCCCAACAGAATCCTCAAGAGATAATGGAGACCTTCTGGCTAACTCTCTAGCACCCGCCAAAAGCTGAAATGTCAACTTTGGATGGAGTGATCCTTTAAATCTATTTTCAGAGTTATCAATTTCGAACCCAAGAACTATTACAACACGCCCCTCCTTCCAAAAAAAATGTCTCCATTGAGGGTGGAGTGGGGTCTTCACCGGAATCTCAGACATCAAGATCTCCTTACAAGCAGAGAAATTGGACTTTCAGCTGAGCTATGTGTGTCTCCAGGCTGTGATTTCTCTATACTTTCCTCTAACATCCTGTAGAGGGTGTGGAATACAATATACCAGGGCCCTCTTCCCTCCAGTGGATTCTCCATATGGCAAAGCACCTTGTCCACATGTTGGTCAGGACAAGAGCCCCATCTACACAACTCTGGCTGGTGGTTGTAGGGGGCTATGGGCAAGGGAGCTTATCAGAGTCTGGAAACCCCCTATTAAAATAAGAGGACCCCCAGATACAGCTTTTGACTTTCAGCTAAGCTATGTGTGTCTCCAAGCTGTGAGTTTTCCATATTTTCCATCAGCATCCACTAGAGGGTGCATAATACAGCATACCATGCATTTATGTATGAGTATGTATGAGCTACATAGTACCCCTACTAATTCACAAAAAAAGGTGCAATCTAGCAATAAAAGGGTCTCAAACAATTGAATTGACACGTCTTTTGGTAAACCCCCCCCCCCCCCCAAAAAAAAGTCTCTTTTTGTAAATGCATCATCAACCACAATGCTCACCGACTTACCAAAATAAAAAGACAATGACCCGGTGCCAAATGACGTCTCCCTGAACTGTCATCGGCTACTTAACAGAAGGGGCGGGAATAGTGGTGACATCATTGACAAGATACGGCCATGGCATTCAGTCAGTGTCATTACCCAAATATAGCCAGTGGCCATATTTAGACAGTGATTTCACTGCTACCCCCCCCCCCCCCCCCCCCCTTTTGCTTAAAGAGGCAGGGATTCCCCATGACATCAGTGGTTCCTAGGGTCCCCTGTGGGTGATCTTCCCTAGGAACCAGTGACAACGGGAAACTGTCATATATAGAAGTGGTAGAAATACCTCTTCTATATATCATTTTTGGCTGCTCCCTCCGAACAGGGGGCCTATCAGGGAGTCAAGACAAATGCCCAAACAGCCAAAGTTCGGTCTAAATCTAAGTCCAGACTGAACCGTCGGCTCATCCCTAGTCTTAGACCTCCACAACAAGATTGCCTGGCAAGCTGAGAGATTTGCTCAGTATGTGTCTCCAAGCTGTGAGTTTTCCATATTTTCCAACAGCATCCACTAGAGGGTGCATAATACAGTATATCAATGTCCTCTTCCTCCTAGTGGATTCTCAATAGAAATGCACACAGACTTTGTTCCAACTGGTAACAAAAGTGGCTCAGAAAAGTCAAGTCCTTACACCTTCACCCCTTTGTGACAGAAGTGCAGAGGGGAGTCCTGACCAGGTCCTGGACAAATACCTTGTAAGGGGTTGATATTCTGCTCCTGCTTCATAGCAATTTGCCTCGTTATTCCTGCAAATCTAAACTTCTTGTTATCTTAGGTGAATGGGAATCGTACAACCATGAATTTGAAGATTCTGGAAGAACTCTGCAATCAGTAACCACCAATCTGGTGGATGTTGTGTGGGGGAACCAGCGCCCCCCTCTGCCCGAAAGTGAAATATATTCAGTACCTGATGACTTTGTGGGTAAGTAGCTTAAAGAGTAACTCCACTTTTGCAGCCAGTAATCTCTTTGATATATCTATCTGCAGCTGATGTGCTGAAACCCACATGGAAGAAAAATAGATTTGAAATATATTTGAAAAATATTCTTCCCAAATATATTGACATATATTAGAAATGCTACAATTTCATATTCATCTCTCTAGCTTCAATATATTCAATATATTTCAATACATAAATAAATATATATATGTATATGTATGTGTGTATATATATATATATATATATATATATATATACATACATGTTGAAATGCGTTTTTATTACAAAATATATAAAAAATATTTTTACAAATACATTTCAAATATACTGTATGTCTTTAAAAATACAAATCTACATTTTTGGAATGCATTTACAAATATATGTATAAAATATATGTTAACATGGCTTTTTTATATGTTAAAAAAAATCTGAAGAATATATTTAAAAAATATATATTTTTTACAAATATATATCTTTTAAATATATTCTTCAGATTTTTTTAATTTGGTTTCAAAACAATTTGATAGTATCACTCAGTATTTAATATTAATTATTGAATTATTCAGTAGCACTTTGTATACACCATAGTGGCTCACAAGACCCCATACTCTAGACCCAAGTAATGGTTTTAGGTTTCATTTTAAATTTTTTGAATGTATTTAAAGTGAAGTTTGAAATCCATTTTTAACTATTTATATACAACTGAGCGTTTAATATAGGCTGCACCCAAGTCACTGGCATCACCCAGCTTTAGGATTTTTACAAATAGAGAGCAGTAAGCAGACGCTACTTCCTCCCTTTGTATTCAGCACTGGTTTAGACCTGCTTTGCTGTCTGAAGTGCAATCTGCGTTTGGATCGCGCTTCAGACAGCAATAGCCAGGCGGTGAGGAGGCAGTGTACCGCCTCCCCACTGTCTGGTTTAACCCCCTAATTTCTGGACACGGCACTATTCACTTGACTGTGTCCCGCTTGGCAGCAGTTCTACCCACTAAGCATGACAGAGGGTATAATTCCTGTCACAGCCGTGAAGCAAAACATCCTGTATGCGGCATGTGTATACCCCTGGCCATTGCCTTAGCGGCAACAGTGGGAGCAGTTGAGGGGGCGGTAAAAATATGTCTCAATCAGCCCTCAATCTCCAGTGAAGACAAGCCCTAAAAGTCCAATTTTATATATATATATATATATATATATAATATATACACACATTATGTGTATATGTGTGTATAAATATTTGGTATATTCACCTAGAAGGTGACAATCAGATCTCTTTCTGATAGGGGGTTGCAATACTAGATTTTACCAGATTTTCTGGGGAAATGCCTGTTTGGAGAGTTCAATAGCTGAAGCTCTAACGACTTTATTTTTATATAGTGGAAGATCTAAATGCTACAAATAAATAAATAAAATAAATCTATCTATCTATCTATCTATTTGTGTGTGTATCTCTCTCTCTCTCTCTCTATATATATATTGTGGCAGTGCGGTATCCTGCCACGGTGGAAATCACAATGGAGACCCAGGATTCTCAACCATACAGGTTGAGGGGCTCCAGGCAGATCTCATAATACAGAGGAAACTTTATCAGTTTATCAGTTTCCTCTTTGGTTTGTAAAGCCTGTTTTGGGACCTGTAGCCTGGAGATTTCTAAGAGATTTGGGAGGGATGAAATCTCCCAATCCTGGGCCCATATTTTGGGAGCAGCCAGCGCGCTGATTGCACAGGCCTTTTTGTGGAGGCCAGGCCATGATGAGCTCCACCTCGGCAGACAGGAGTCAGGAGGGCTCCACCCCGGCAGACAGGAGTCAGGAGGGCTCCACCCCGGCAGACAGGAGTCAGGAGGGCTCCACCCCGGCAGACAGGAGTCAGGAGGGCTCCACCCCGGCAGACAGGAGTCAGGAGGGCTCCACCCCGGCAGACAGGAGTCAGGGGGGCCCCACCCCGGCAGACAGGAGTCAGGAGGGCTCCACCCCCGGCAGACAGGAGTCAGGAGGGCTCCACCCCGGCAGACAGGAGTCAGGAGGTCTCCACCCTGGCAGACAGGAGTCAGGAGGGCTCCCCCCCCCGCAGACAGGAGTCAGGAGGGCTCCACCCCCCGGTAGACAGGAGGTCTCTGCTGAAGCCAGACAAGCTGTGTGCTATAGGCTAGCTGTGTGCGGGAAAGCCATTTTTGGATAGAGTCTGCAGGAGACAGACGGAAATCAGTGTACAAGCGAGAAGGCTGACATTTGTGTGATGGTGGATACCCCTGCATGGAAGCATTTTGGTTATTGAACTCTTTCCTTTAAATAAAATTGGGCAAAAAGGCCCTTAAAAAGAAGTGAGTTGCTGTGTGCTTTGAAGAAGCTCTACCATTTTGAAGCGAGATCCCACAATATATATATATATATATATATATATATATAAAAAAGAAAATTGGATTGCTGCACATAGAAAACATTTATTGTTGAAAAATCACCATACAAAAGAGTGATCCAAAAAAATGGACAAAACCATACATTCATACATTATAGTGTTCAACAGCAATCCAATTTTCTTTTTTTCTGTATATGGCTTTTGGGTGGCCATATATATATATATATATATATACAATAATAAAAAAAAAAAAATATATATATATATATATACACACACATACACTGTATATACATTTTTTTAATATACTAGAAGTAGCAAGGATTAGTCCTGACAATAAGAAGAGAACCTTCATGTAAAATCACTCACTGAAGATTTTATTTTTACTTTTAACAATCATATAGAAAAATGTAAAACACAGCAAATGATAAGAAAAATTAAATTTAAATGTGCCCAAATCTGAGAAAAAGTGATTACAATTTCGGTGCCAGATGTCCTGTAGAGAAACAGACCATTATGTTGTATTGTTATTTGAACATCTTATATAAAACATTTTATATAATGTTTTATATAAGGGAGGCGGAGGGGATGAGATGAGACCCCAGACTCTGTTATGTTCCAGGCAGGATCCTGATCACCTCGGCACACCTAGGACAGCCTAGGTACATCACCATATCAGGAAGTACACTGCAATTTTTTCAAGAGGAACTCAAGACAAAAGGGAAGTTTTTCCAGGGTATTGCTTAGGCACAATTAACACCTCTAGAGGTTCCCTGAACATTGCAAATCTTCACTATTTCAGTTCAGTTCAACTTTATTGGTAATAATGTTTTTGCACTACATATCACACAGTGCTGCAGATACAATCATAGAACTAAGTGGTCGTCCCAACTGTCACTTATCATCTTCTCTGCCCATCTCCTACAGGCAGCACTTGGCAGGAAAAAGTGAATAATATTCGGGATCAGATGAATAATCACAGGCAGAACCCGACGGCTGTCCCTCCTCTCCACTCTAGAGGAAACTGCATGTATGTAGATATTAAAAGAATGTAATGTAAGCAGGGAATGATCGGGTTCATTAAATATAAAATTCCATTGATATATATTAGTCTCGGATAAAGTTGTGAAAGTTCAGATCTTCTATTAGAAATATGGAGATCATATCCCCCTTATGTATTATACATGGAGATCATATCCCCCTTATGTATTATACATGGAGATCATATCCCCCTTTATGTATTATACATGGAGATCATATCCCCCCCTTATGTATTATACATGGTGATCATATCCCCCTTATGTATTATACATGGAGATCATATCCCCCTTATGTATTATACATGGAGATCATATCCCCCCTTATGTATTATACATGGTGATCATATCCCCCCCTTATGTATTATACATGGTGATCATATCCCCCTTATGTATTATACATGGAGATCATATCCCCCCTTATGTATTATACATGGAGATCATATCCCCCCTTATGTATTATACATGGAGATCATATCCCCCCTTATGTATTATACATGGTGATCATATCCCCCCCTTATGTATTATACATGGTGATCATATCCCCCCTTATGTATTATACATGGAGATCATATCCCCCCTTATGTATTATACATGGAGATCATATCCCCCTTATGTATTATACATGGAGATCATATCCCCCCTTATGTATTATACATGGAGATCATATCCCCCTTATGTATTATACATGGAGATCATATCCCCCCTTATGTATTATACATGGAGATCATATCCCCCCCTTATGTATTATACATGGAGATCATATCCCCCCTTATGTATTATACATGATGATCATATTCCCCCTTATGTATTATACATGGAGATCATATCCCCCTTATGTATTATACATGGAGATCATATCCCACCTTATGTATTATACATGGAGATCATATCCCCCTTATGTATTATACATGGTGATCATATCCCCCCCTTATGTATTATACATGGTGATCATATCCCCCCTTATGTATTATACATGGAGATCATATCCCCCCTTATGTATTATACATGGAGATCATATCCCCCTTATGTATTATACATGGAGATCATATCCCCCCTATGTATTATACATGGTGATCATATCCCCCTTATGTATTATACATGGAGATCATATCCCCCCTTATGTATTATACATGGAGATCATATCCCCCTTATGTATTATACATGGAGATCATATCCCCCCTTATGTATTATACATGGAGAACATATCCCCCCTTATGTATTATACATGGAGATCATATCCCCCCTTATGTATTATACATGGAGATCATATCCCCCCTTATGTATTATACATGATGATCATATCCCCCTTATGTATTATACATGGAGATCATATCCCCCCTTATGTATTATACATGGAGATCATATCCCCCCCTTATGTATTATACATGGAGATCATATCCCCCCTTATGTCCGGCCCCCTAACATCTGAAGGACAATAAACTGGATCTTTATTTAGAAACTTTGGAGACCCCCGATATATACTGTATATTGTACAGGAGGCAAGGGATTGGTCCTGAATGAGAGATACATTTCCCCACTATTTGGGTTGTAGTCCCTCTAAGGGCAGGTTCAAGAGATTTTTTC